ATTTATATTAGTTGATTTAATCGTTTAATATAAATAAATAAATATTCATTTAATCGTTATTGAGTATAGACATGTTGTACTATGGGTGTAGACTCAAATATGTTAATGGTAGCGGAATTAATAAATAATATAAGTTTCTTAAGTAGTAAATATTATATTTAGTGAAATGGTTTTCAATATTTAGGTATATATACACGAAAATCACTTTAATTTGTTTTAAAAAAGTCGTTTGATTTTGATTATTCTGCAATTAGAATATATAGCTCAGATGTGACATGATACCTAAAGGTTATTTCTTTAAATTTATATACAATTATATTATTGCTGAAATCTGTATAGTGTATATAATAAAAAAAATATCAAAGTCGATATTCTCTGTAATTTTTTTTATTATTAATGCGTTATGCATGGGGATAGTGTCGTTCTTACTTTATCTCCGCTACGAAAACAAAAGCTAGTATATACGTATTTTACAGTCTAATAACACATATACATTTAATCTGACTCTATATAATTTTTAATTCCAATCAATGTCATGGAAGAGTCGTGTTTGTAGCAAACAGATACGTTGACAGACAGATTTACTGATTTTAAAATAAACACGAGTAAAAACATTTTAATTTAATACCGCTTGATACATTTATGTGTGATTAACCAATAAACACATCTATTTTGACATTTATTATTTTAAACTATTTTAAAGTACCAGACGTGAATGATTTTAATTTATCTGTTTTTATAGGTCTAATTAATTAATGAAATTGAATTTTTATAGTTTATTTAAATTGCTGTTATATATAAAGTAGTTATTAGAATTAGAACGACTCTATTATAACCTCTTATAATAGAGTCGTTCTAATTTAAATAATTTTTAATATTTCTGTATATTAAAAAAAACATTTCAGCATATAGTAAAGTAAACGTAAAATGGCCAACAACCAAACAAAAATTTCGTCGGTTTGGTGCTATTTTCAAACAAAGCCTATAAAACGTTATGAAATAACAAATCATAATCGTCAAAACATTAAATAAATATTTTTTATTCCGTTCCATGAGGAAACAGTGGCTGATTTTAGAATATTATCTATTCTTGCTTTCTCAGGTATACATTTATATCAGATAAGAATTGGATGGGGAATCGATCGGAGGGGGGTTCCGATCGTTCCCCCATCCCGTTCAAGTGAGTACTGAACTGAGCTCAAACCTCTAGCGGTGCCCTCAGACAAAAATCTTATCTATCAAGCAGGAGTTGGCCTTCAGCCACCCCATAGGTCCTTCTGCAATTCCATCTGCCCACTCCCCTTATTGTTCGGTGAAGTTGTAAAGGCTGCTGCGGCCAACAGCACTAGAAGAGATCTATAAAATACATATTATAAGTCAGATAAAATACTATTTGACTAGTTTCGCACGCTGAGATCCCTTGTGATAAGAAGTAGCAGCAAAATTATTACGCAATGAGTTATATATAAATAATATAATAATAAATTATAATTATAATAAATAATACATTACTTGATAATTAGAGCAAACAAACATTCTGCATAAAACATAGTTTTCTACTTTTATTGTTTTCAGTTTCCGGGTTTAAGAGTTTCACAAGTTACCAGTATAGGTCATTTTTAAATGAAAACTTTATAAAACTTGGTCGTTCCAATTAAAGTATATTTTATGGACGTTTTCTCATCGATACATTTACGATTGTTACTATTCTCGAACTATCGACATTGTAGAGTTTTCTAGTCGGCCAGATGCTAGTTTGCTGTTTTTATTGCCGGCACAATAAAAAAAAACGAATGAACGTAGTAAATTAAAACGTGCCATTACAGTACATTATCTAAATATACTTAAATTGTTCTATTAAGGTGCCACGCTGCCAAATACCTTCAATATACAATCGACACACAACCCCTACCATTGGTTCCCTTCTTTATAGAGAATAATATATATATATCTATCTAATAATTTACTTTAATATAGATTTTAATAAACAGAAAGTTTAACGTTATAATGTTGAAAAATGGAATGGTGCGCCCGCCTGCACTAACTACGCTGGCGGGGCACCGCACAGTAGAGGATGCTAAGATGAGCATGAGGTCAGGTCAGTTAGCCCATCGTGACAAATTCACGAAGAATTTATCACGATGGAAAAAAATGATTATGAATGAATGTCTGTAATGTTTTTAGCAAATCGATATACAACTACTGTGATTGGGACCCAAATCTTGCCCAATTGATTGGGTTTATTCCCAATATTTATGAGAAGTCATAAAATATCTACTATAAACATCATTAGCTCTGCTGTCCAATTTTCTGATCGCATAGGTTCGACAATTGAAGAAAAAGGTAGAATTACTTGCTATAATCTAAGTTTCTGATATTATTGTCTCGCATCAATTCATGTAAATAAATGACTTTATATTTTGATAAATAAATAAGGCCATCGGTGTGCGAATTCAATTACCTTATTTTTTTCAAAGTTAATTAGTATGAATGAATTATCCTGAAAATGTTGTCAATAAATGAATTGACTTCAGATTGGTTAAGTAATTTATTAATTTAATTTAATATATATATTATTAAATCTTATAACTTGCTACTTAGGTTAAATCTAAGCTGGTGAAGAGATGGATGAAAATGTACCATTGTACATTAAAATAATAAATCTAATATATAAAAATTAAAAACGAAATATTTGTATTTTTTGTGTGTTTGTAGGCTTATAAAATTCTTGACATTTAATCATTTTTTCAGCCGTAGAAAGAATATGTCAGTTAGTATTAAATAAACTCGGAGTATTTTCGAATAAAATCTTAATAAGTGATATTAATTTTATTTTTAATACTTAGTAGGGCTTAGAAACTCGGTTGACGAATATGTGAACCCGAGTCTTCGGCGTGCCCTACGCGGCGATCCAACCCTAAGTACCTGAAAAGGTGCCAATAAACAATTGAATTCCATAAGACTTAAGTTCTCATTTACTCATTCTAATATAGACTCTGTCGAGAAGTCCGTAAGGTTACTAATAAAATGTCATTTAATGTTGATACACAGGGAAAATGTTTACTTGGGAGGAAGTTCTCCAAGAAACAACGGGTTTTCCTCTATGGGTCACCCAGGGGAGCGGAGGGCGGGATCCCATCTAAATCTCCCGAACGAGGGATTCTGAGGCGAATTACCGAAAAGATGTTTCAGTACAAACTTCTTGATATTTTCCGGTATTATTGTGTACCCGTGTATAATGCAAAACAATTTTCTATTGTTGTTATCTGAACTTATTTGTAACGTGGGTGTACAGTACCATTGGCTGAATGTGACGTACGTAAAGCGGCAAATGGAGAGGGAAAGACAATAATGGTACTTCACATTGTAGAAGCTATTTTCTATCTATACCATCTAATCATAAAGAAAGACAGCTGATTTGCTGATGAAAGTAGGTGAAGATGTTGTTTATAATTGAATGGATATCCTAATAGGTAATAGTAATAATAATAACCCAAGATAATAACAACATTGCCACATAGCCCCAAGCTAATCAGAGCTTGTGTTATGAGTACTAAACAACTGATATAAATACTTAAATATATTAAATTGTAAATACACAATAGAAACAATCATATTGATGAATATATAAGTTTGTACCGTGCTAGGAACCGAAACCGCGACCATCGGATTTAACTCTGTGTCTGCTAAACTGCTAGATCACAGAGGCCGTTCTATGTACATATGTAACCGCTCCCTTGTATAATAATAGACTGTACAGATTATTATCTTTAGATAGAAACTCATGATACCTGAATATAATCAAAAACATAAACGTAAAGTATTTTCAAATATCGTTTTGTAAACTCGTAGCCCGTGACCTAGTTATTTCTACTCATTCTAGATACCCAAAGCGGTAAGTTCAAATTAAATTCAAGTAAAGTGACGCAAAAAATCTTTCAATTTATGTTTCTCAATAGAGTTTGCTCGACGGTGATGGGAAACATCGTTAACAAGCTAAATTATCCAAGTGCAGGTAGTAAGCTTATACAGTGCGTAGTTGAATTCAAATATTATGTACATTAGATCTAATATTATGTTTAAATAATACAGTCTCTTGTGTGCTGTCTCAGTGCTTAATAAAAAATATATTCTAAATGAAGTATTCAAATTATATAACGGACGGTCTCGGTTGTTTAGTAGTTAAGCACACCGCTTTCCCGATGGTCGCGGCTACGATTCCTCGCAAGGTGCAACACATGTACATTTGTTGTCTGTTATCTCCATACTTTTATCCCACATATAAACCGTGCTTAATATAATGCATATACATGTTATTTCATAAGGCTACAGTATATATTGATGTATATGTTAAACTTGTAATGTCAGTCATCATTCCGTATTTTTACGTTTTGCCGCCCTTTTTTCGCGCCAAACTTTTTCAATATGGCGGCCGGCGAGAGCCACGCGCTGCCACCATTAACCACCGACACTTCACCGTTGCTATAAACTCACAAATCATGAAACGTGCCATCGGTTAGGATACACACAATTCCCGACCTAATGACTCAAGCCCAAAGCTCATTGTTCGAAATTATGCCCGACTCGATTGCGGAGAACAAAATGCTCTGCCCAACAAATTATTTTGAACCTTGAAACCGCAATGAGGAAAACTTATTTTCAATTAATTCTCACTGAAAATCGTGAAACGAACAAAGAGAGCGAGAAACGAGGCCAACATTCGTTAATAATGTAATGTATATTTATTCGTCTACATTATTTCGTCGTCGAATGTCGGCATGTGTCCAATAGAATTGCTAATAATTTCGATATAAATTGATACCTATTTCTATATATTTTTTAATATCTTTAAATATCTAAGAACTAAAATGTAACTATTGAAATACTTTTTTTTTTATTTAAAATATAAAATTAATAAAAAAATTTTTTGAATGACAGATATAACTATGGGGACTCATTAATAAAAATGTAGGTTAGATAGTTGCAGGAGTCGCAGTTCGCTTAGCGCTACGCTCGCTGTGTCCTCGTGCTGTAGAGTGAAATTATTGCAGGTTAGTGTATTTATTTTATTGAAATATTCAACTTTTTTTCCGTGTTACATGAGCAATTATTATAAGTAAATAGTGAAGAAAATCTGTTTTTCTCCGCGGCCTAATTTATATGGCATCGGGCGTTCCGCATCTAATCAATACACGGGCTTGGCGCGGCGGTGGCGCGGCGGCGGGCGCGTCGTTCGTCGCGCTCGTGGCTGGTCGTAAGCTCTCGGTCTTTTTCGGTAGTGAGCGAGACGCCTGGTCGATGCTCGGGCATTCTCGCTTCAATCGTAATTCCATTTTCCGCCCGCCTTGGCAAATTGAAATGTCGTAACTCTTGGGGGAATATCGGCTTTCTGCCCAAGAAAAATATTCTGCTAAGGCATTGTAACGACGCTCCTGATATTATGGAATATTTCCAGTCCATCATACAGTTGGGGGTGCGTCCCCTAAAATGGCTGTAATCGTGAATCTGCCGCCACTTGGCCGCTCGTTGCATAAAGGTGTTGGGTATTCCCCCTTCACTTTCGATGTCAACTCGCATTCAAACATTTACAATTTCATTTAAGTCAGTTTTTTAGAACTTGTTCAAGTTTTAAAACTTTATGAATACCAAAGTTATATGTAGGTACCAAAGGGATAAAAATTGCGTTGAGGTAGGTCAAGAAGTTTGCCAAGTTACACATCGAGAGTTCAAATGTTAAAAATAGAGAGATTTTTTAATACACACATAAAATATACTTAAGATATTAAGACTATTTTAAGATAATCATTTGATGTTGGCCTAAATGTATGCATATAAAGTATCTAAGAAGGCACTAGACATGAGATAATGAGATACCGGATAAAATTTTTGTTACCCCAACTTAAGAACTGCACATTATAAAAATTACTCGGTAACATTAGGAACCAATTCCAAGTTTCTTGAAAATATAGTTAATATAGGGGCTTGAAATATTTAGGCTGGTATAGAACAGGTATACATTCACAATGATGTAGCATTATCAGTATCTGGTTAAATTGTATATAGCAATATATTTAAGTAGTAACTTAGGCTACTTTTATTTTATGATTATTTAGATTATTCAGTCATCTGTACAATATAGAAAAATATCGTTGTCTTTATAATACCTATACCATATGTCTAGAGGCATTCAATGAAGTACTTATTTTTGCTTTGATATATGTTATATAATACATTTTAACGAGAACATAAAAAGTGGGCAGCTAGAAAGAGGTACTACAAGTAATTCTGGTGGTTATTTTAGTGGGTGGCCCAGTAGGTCAGATAAATTGAACCCTTCGCGGCGTTGTGTTCACACGTAAATAACATGTAGAGTTCGGGATGGGAGGGGTGGGTACACCCAAACTCCCATTCTTTAAAACTATGTCCACAATCGGCCTGAAAGTACAATTTCAAAGTACTTTCGACTTAACTACGTTGTATTAAGAGTGTTTAGTTCGCGTTCACGTGTGCAAACAATTTTGGCTTACGAAGCAGTCACACAAAGTGACATATGCAGTTTAGAAACATATTTGTTACTGAATATCCATACTTAATGGCATGAAATAAAGGTTATGTACAATTTTATGTGACGTAAATGATTGATATACCATAACGTATTCGTCGAACACGCAACAGGAGTAAACTTTTGTCATGGTTTGTTAATCTTAATGTTTTTTTTAGGTTTTTCTATGTAAATTGATAATTACTTGTCATCGCCATAGTGTTTATTTTTGATTTTAGTGTATGTTAATTTTATAAACTATACTATAGATCCTTTATATATTCTTATTAGATACCTACTTATTTTGATGTTATATAGCCAAATGGCTGCAAGATTTTAACCAGTATGAACGTCTTTATACGAACATAAATGTCCTCTTTCTTGGGAGACATAGAAGCTGTGGGCTCCGAGTTGGGGTCAAGGGGGTGAAGTGGAAGGAGTAGGATGGCAAAGGGTGCGCGAGTTTTGCATTAATAATGTTGATATCGGCCCGCCTACCGATTAATTTGATTAGTCGACTTGTGTTTTGGATAACCATGGGCTATTATACGTAATGTAACGTAGATACAAAATTTAACATAATATAAGTTTACTTCTGTCTCTTAAAAAATCACAAATTAATTTAGTCACGTAATTATTGTGACACCAACAAGTATGTATAAACTATTTCCATTTAACAAAATATTCACAAATAAATTGGAATAAATCCTTCATATTCATATACAAAAAGATAGTCATTTTCAGAACCCAAATTATACTATAATCGAGGACTATTTATATATTATTAACCAAGGTTAAATATATTGATACAAATTTAAACTGTATTTTAAAACTACTATGCTTCAAATCCCTTTGCCTATCTCTTTACATAAGTTCACTATTCTACCAAGATTTCAGATATGGATAGTTGTCATTTCGTAATTAGAAACGACATCCGTTATTAATAGGGGTCGGCGATACCGTATGGTACAAGCAAAAGGAGAAGGAGTTGTGTTCTGACAGGAAAATTATAAATTTAATTTAAAATAACATTTGAATAACAAATATTGTTAAGTAATAAAAGAAAAGCGAATGATTGATTATTTATCTAATGGAATAACTATTTGATTTTACACAACTACCCATAGTCTACAATTCCAAACCGTATATGTCAGCAAGCATTATCATCACATTGAATATTGTACAGTTTTAAATATTGTATATAAACTTGAATTACCAGTAAAATAAAAAATAAATGTTTTTGGTTACTTCCAAATTTAACAGGAAAAAAATATGCTAGCTACTATTTTTTAGCAATAATCAACTTATCTTCTCGTACAAATATTATCCACTAATTTTGTCACAATATAAAAGAAACAATAATAAATTTAGATTACCTGTATTGAAACCTCAGTATACGATTTCTAATCGCATATCATCAGCTTTTTTATAAATAACAATAAATTTGATCTGTATATTTCTATTCGCTTATAACTTGTACCAATGATGTAACTAAGATTGTTAAGTTTAATTATTTATAGTAACAGATTTGTATTATAATTATGTATAAGGATAACAATAGTAGTGATATAACAATATAGTTTTAAAATTATTATTTTATTATTCATTATTTAATTTTCAGTAATATATTTACTTTAAATTATAATCTGCGACTATATATATTACGTGACATGGAATAAATGTAATTTATATGATAATTAATATTATTTCTTTAACAATTTAGGACTACTAAATTTTATATCTGTAATCGTGTTGTAACGTTTATACAACACGATTACAGATATAAAATTTATAATTTAGTTATTGAGTAAGAGACTTTATATTGAGACTTTATATGTATAATAAACTTTTTTTTTAATTTAAATCTAGTAAATATTTACTCAGTCATATAACTTATAATTATTACTAACCGAACTCAGGAGTATATGATTGATACATTATAACTATTAAAGAAGTCAACCGTACTATAACTGTATATTAACAGAGCACAATAGAATATGATAATTTATGAAAATCAGTGAATCCAACAAAAAAAAGGAAAGAATTAATTAACGCTCAGCGATAGGAGATAATAAACTTGCATTAAGCGATACTTTGGGAAAATTCGGGAATGTCGGGATGGGGCGGGCGCCCGCCGCCCGTTGAGGGTGTCCTAACCTTTCCTTAACTTCCACAAGTGAGATTGAGTACGTAAGTATATAGAGCAACTTTAATTAAGACGCCTGCCTGTTTTGTTAGCGTGCATTGTTTATGAGTATGGAATAATTCTGTGTAAATTAGGGTTTGCTACGAAAATTAGATGATGAGATAATTTAAATGCTATTATAATATGGATTACATTATTATTATAGAAATGGTACTACATAATTCGTTACTGATACTTCAAGAATATATTATTATTACAATAGATATAGAGTCAGACCCCTCAAATAATCTAGTACTCTAATCTATTCTTTCTCTTCTTCTGCATTACAACCTACCAATGTACATGTTTGTGTAACATAATTATTTTATAATCGAACGATTATACTAGTCTATATTCTTCATGATTTACAAAATCAGACTAAAACAGTCACGTGGGCATAAAGAGCCCTCTAATTAAATGTATTAACGAAGTGTATTTCTTGGACTAACAGTTTAACAAAAAGTGGGCTTAAGATGGCTATGAAATCCTATTTAGACAATTACGACTTAACTGTACTTGGTTTATTGGAAATACGACTTATAAACTTTTTTTATTTACACTGTATTTTTAAATATAAATTACATAAAAAATTGAGCGATCTGCTTATTTTATATTCAATAATATCATAGTATCAATAGCAGAAAATATCACACCTAAATGATTTCTGTCACACTTTTGTATACACGCATACTTGATATTTTCAGATTCTCGGCTTGATCTAAGTTTGACTACGGAAAGGAAAGTTTCGACCGATGAGGCGCTGTAGACAAAGCGGCTACCTATAGACTGGGACAGGCTTTATTAAAGCAAAACCTCCCACTGGTTCCAATGTGTGCGGTACTGATTTATTGACGTAACATCCAACGCTCCTGAAATCTTGTAATCGGTGACGTCACTTATACCTTCCCAAGAGATGTTCTAAACCATTCGAACATTTTATGTTGATATATTTTTAAAGATATTATATAAATAAAATAAATGGTTTTCGTATAGAATTTATATTGTAAATTAAAACTGAATTTTGTTTATGGTAGTATACGGAAGAATTCGACAAATTAGCGAGTAGTTTTTTAAACAGTGAATATACTCCGTTTCCGAAATATTATAATAATAATCTGTCTCGTCATCTAATATGTATATTAATTGCCGTAGAATAAATTTAAAGTGTATTTAAAAAACAATGTTTCAATTTTCTTTGTCTACCTTATTGCATTTCACATTTCAATTGAATCTATTCTACTGGAACTGCATCTTTTATAAATTCATCTTTATCAATTTAAAAAACAATTTTAATTATTTGATACAATAATAATTACTTAATTAAGGATTTACAGTGTCGAAACTCTATGCCGCTCGATGGAATTGCGACGGAAGGAGCTTCTTCGTTGCTGCGCCGTGAATAAATTATAATGATAAGACTCATGCCTTCGCAATATTGAAGGCGTTTTGATCATTAAGCGTCCCCCCCGGTCCCACTTTCCCGGAATTTTTCCGGGACGGGATTCCAAAATGGTTCCCTTCCCCTTTTCATCTCGCCTCCCTAACCATGGCTTTTCCAAGAATACTTGAAGCTCTTTCATCTTTGGTTTGTCGAGTGATTCAAAACGAAAAATGATGGCTAGAAGGCAGGATCTCACTATAAAAGGTAGCGAGTCAAGTGTATCATACCTTAAAAGAATCATGACTTTGAACCCAAGCGTCAATTTACAGAGTGGAAGGTATACTTACGTCGTATGAGTTTAAAAAATACAAGAGCTTCTAAAGCAAATTAGCTTTAAGAGAGAGAGAGAGAGAGAGAGAGAGAGAAATATTAATAAAAATTATGTATCGCATAATTTGATGGTTTTAGGATTAAGTAATATTGACACAGTAAAATTTCTAACTACTTAACTGACACATTCTAACAATAATAACTTTAATTGTTAAATATTATCCTATAATCTCTTATCGCGGCTTTATTCTCTCGTTATTTCCCGTTTTATACTTACTGCTTGCTACTAACTAGGTTCTGTTTAGGTGATAAGTACTAAAATAGACAACAGCGACGCCTGACTTTTGTCCGTAATAAATAGTAATTTTTACATATTTCTTGCAAAAAATAGCGGAGAAAACTCATTATTCCTTATGAAGGTATGAGAATAATATAGATATAGAAAACAATAGCAACAATAGTTATTACGAATACCGTAATGTTGGATCACATCTGAGGATGTTCACATTTTCTATTAATGTAATATGTCACCTTCAGATGACCACTTGTAGACTTATATAATATAAATCAAGAATATGTACCAAGAGATATCAAACAGTTTTGGATACGGCAATCGATATTAACGATATGATAACATGTGTATATTAAAGTATTATAGTTGACAAATTCGTTATTAATTTAAAAATTGTATTGAATTTATTATATAAATTTAACAAAAAATTATTTATACTACAACTAATCTAGTTTGTATTGTAGTAAAAATATTATCATTTTTACTACAATATAAACTAGATGGTACAATATAATTTGGTTTTATATATATAAAACATTTATATATTTTTTAGATCTTGAATAAAACTTGTTCTTTCTGTTCCAGAGTTTTTCTCGTTATGCGAAGTAATTTACCTGAAAAAAAAAAGTATATTATATACCACATCCAGTTTTACTTGCAGTAGATAGAATCTCTGTACAGTCTGGGGTGAAGCGGCGGGTGTAGTTGCTTTTAGTACCCAGCCCGCGCGAACACAGACAGACAGAAAGAACACGATCTGCAACTGATATCACCATACCAATTGTATGTTATTATTTGGTTTAACTATATTTTAGATATTTAAAGCATAAAAAATATACCTTTATTACTGTAATCTTATATGTCAAAAGTATGTGTGGCACAATACTCAATTCAAGTTCGTCCATATGTTATTATAAAAATATCACTTTACATGTGGACTACCACGTAAAAGTACGGGTCTAATATGATATGTAATGGTTTTTTTTTCCTTTCCTTTCTTCCTGGATGTCAATTTTCAGGCTTTCTACTTTTTTAGGGACCATTTTAATATATCTATGATTTGTAATGTTAGGTAGACTTGGATAACGAATAAATTAATTAAATTTCATTATATATACATTTTCGCGCTTTTACTTTGCATAGAAGCACAGTTTTTAAGTGTTTTTTTGTTCTATAACTGCTTACACTACTGCATCTGCTGAAATGAATTGGCAAGAAAATCGACAACAGGGCCGAATATGAAATGTTATAAAAATTTAAAGTTTATTTTGTATAGATTGCTTAAAAAGTTAAAGTAACGTAAAATTCACTTACTCTGAACAAAGAGATAGTAAGCAATAGAGATTGCATACAGATAATATAAGAAAATCTCTTATAAAGGATAGTGGCAGGTCTGTCTAGAATTAATACTAATTACTATTTTTCATATGATCTTTTAGTAGTAGGTACTACACACAGTGCCACTACACTTTATAGTAGTGGTTACTAAACAAAGTTGTAGTAGAATATACTAAATATATTTATTTTATATTGCTGAGGCGTTGAATCGTCAAATTGGCGGATTATAACGACACGACTACATGTAATTTATGACGTCACCCACCCACAGTCAAAGCAGAAAATAACCCTCTCTCGCGACTGACGTCTCTTTGCCTTACTAAATACAATAAGAAAATACACGAGTTAATATTATATGTAATTCCAATTACCGCTACTTACAATTATAGTATATTTGAATATGTATTTTTTATATCTCTCTATAATTCACGCAACGCCATCCAGTTTCAACTAAGCAGAGCTTACGTGATGATACTAAATAACCTATATATTTTTTTAAATTATAAATATCGACAAACACCCAAACAAACAATAATTCTCTTGAATATAAATCTTTATACGGTGCGAGGAATCGTACTCGCGACTACCGGAAGCAAAGCGTGTGCTAAACCACAAGACCAACGAGGTCATCATTTGTAACGCACTTTGAGCATTCAACAACGTTTTCCACATATCGTATATTTCTTTAATTATTAATACCATATACATAAGTGCCATCATGTTCGTATATTCATATAGAGAAATGTAAACTATCGTCGTAACATTATTGGGTATCAATTAGTAAGCACTCGAATTGGTTGCGATGTGACAGATACTATTAGTGATCTATCGATAGCAGGCCAGTTGCATACGTCACTATCAATATTCGAATGTGTGGTCGCAGGATTCGCAGGTGACTTGTTTGTGTGTGTTGTGCATGTGTGGGGTCGAACTGCGCATATGGCGATGGGAGGCGAGTAAGAGTGGGTGGAGGGGGACATAGAAGCAGTAACTGCTCAGGCTTGTAGCTAGCTCGGTACATTTTATTGTAGCTTGCCTCTCTAGATACTACTGACGCTGAGTGGAGCTCTCTCAGTTTATCGATGTCGATAAACCAAGTAATGGGGCGTTGTTATTTTTCTCACCGTACACGTACCGTGTCAGGGATTGGATAGCCGAGTTTAATGTTTTATGTTAACGCATTAAGTTACGTTTTCGTTTTAAAGAGTTGTTCGAAATGATTTTTCTCTAAATTGCAATGTTAACATTTTTTTAATATTACAATAATGTTTGTATGTATGTGGGTAGTGTATTAAATGTCATCATATTGATTTTCGACATCTTAATTGTCTTAGTATTAACTACATATTTTGTACAGTAATTAAGATCTGAACTACGAATATATATGATATACAATGAATATGAAAAGTCCAGTGAGTACATAATCGTAATTTAATTAACATACCATAGCATAGCATTCTTGTATATATACATATATTTAGAAATGTATGCTATAATAATACAAAACAATTTAACTTTTTGCAACTGTTTATTTCTCTGATAAAGTTTGCTTGAACAATCTTCGTGCATATATCGATATTAAGATGGACATCGATATTTTGTTATAGACAGCTCTAGGCAGGTTAACTCGTCGTTGTCGGGGCGTTGCCTGAGTTGCCCTGTGTGTGGCCAATAATTTTATTACAAGTTCATTAAGACGCCCGTTGTGGCGTCTATTCTTGATTTCTTTATTTTAATTGAGAGCGCGGCCCTTAAATGTAACTTTTGTATTGTAAATAAATGCTCTTGTTACTATCATTAGAAATTAAACTAATGGAAAAGATAAAAGTAAAAGAATTAAGAATTGAAAACAACGTAATTAGTCAGGCAAGTAAACAAAGTCTGACATTTTTATTTTTACATGCTATGTAAAAAATAATTAGGCGTCATTACCAAAGTTATGCATAGTATAATCTGCAGGTATTGTCTGATGATTTAATATTTCTTTATAAATTTCTCTTTAAAAAAATATCTACGATAGTAGTTTAGCAAAACGTTATAACGCTTTTTAAAGTGTATGTACTAATGTATGAGCGGGAAAATGAAATATAATTATTTATATTAATTGTTTTGTATGTGACGTACGGTCACATACGTATTACATAACATTACATTACACATAAATTTTAATAATAATGCTAAGTTTATACAAATAAATACAAAAAAAGTGGGTAATATAAATCAAATACAGTAATAAGATCGAAAGATTTTAATCTGGTACTTAAAAATATTTATAGAAAAAATATAAGAAAGGTGCTAGCAACGTTAATATTAGTCAAAAAACAATTTATTGAAATTTTGTTCCTATGATGGAAACACCACCAGGAGTGGGTGAAACAGTGAAAAGTGGAAAATAAAATCTACGTAGTTCAAGAACACAGCACTTCAGAATCTTATACCTGTCACGACTGTTACTGGAAAGGGTAGTCAGATAGATTGTCAATTATCGATGCTATGGTGGCCGTAACCCTTGACTTTTCGTTTGGGTATATTTAACAGTGTAGAAGGCTTTAAATATTTCTTTTCTAAAATAATGTATGTTTTTCAAAATAAATATGCCATCCCTACTAATTACAAATACTGAAGTGTGTCTGAAATTTGTTTCGTAATCAATAATTTTTGAATGAGCTTAATTATGATAACTAGGAATTTATGCAGCCAATATATTTATGAAAGCGACTGTACCTACACATGTAAGCACTTGTAAAAGTTTCCGTATTGGCCATTTAAATTCACTCATTTTTAATTGCATCCAGTAGTGAAGTAGTAGTGTTAGTGGGTAGTTCTAATTTATATGACATCATTAACATCATCATGGTAACTTAGGTGATTACAGAATCTTACTATCGGTCTACTGTCTCGTTTATTTCCTCGTCTTTCGCTTGCCCTTAAATATTTATAACTTCTTCCTGTAGTCACTTACGATATGCTAGGGATGAAAAAAAGTGATGACGTACTATATATATTCATACGTCCGTCCATCCTTCATTTCATAGGCATTGAAATAAAACAGAAACTATCGTGAGAGTGCTATGGTAGTGATAGAGGATTTGATTCACTACTACTATCATAAAGCAGTAGATGCAGGTAGACATCTGTGAATGATCTTAGGAAACACAAGTTCCAAATAATCTAGAGGCAAGTGATACTGTGCGAATTAACCGCTCTATATTACTCAGTTTAAACGATAAAATGGCCGCTAAAACTGCTGGAACCTCGAAAGGGCAATTAAAATTCGTAATAACTCGAAAGCAAAGTCAACGTAAGTTAAACAAAGCGGCAAAAATAATTAATCGCCGACACGCTCGCGCGTTAAAAACGTCGCGCTCCGCCTGCGGTCGGACGGCACGCGAAATTATCTAAAGGTAGCTAACGAAAAGCACAATGAATTTATTACTACCTGAATAAATGATAGCATTGCGGTGAATTTGATGTCAATATGTGTTAACACTAAGCTATTTAGTTCACGACTCGGACCCCTTTCCCGCCCTTTCTCCCCACGCACACCAGCGTATGGCAACCCCACTCGCCAGCGGTAACACTGTGTGCGTCACCCCCACATAGAGAAAAGCAATTTTTCACAGGTTACTCTACACACACAGGCTTAGAGAGATGAATGTAGTGAGTCCCTTGCCCCACGAAAAGTTTTGTAGTAGGTACAAAATTTGTTCACTAGTTGTGTCTAGACATGCCATGCTTTTAAGTTGGAGGTGAATCCTTGGAGACTTGTTTCAAGAACTTATTACGAATAAGCATTGAATACTTCATGGTACAAGCGGATTATCTAAGTCTACATTAGCTTTATATTTTTGAAATGTATTTGGATTAGGGATTATGACTCGGTAAGTTTTTGTGTTTATGTCCAAAATTGGCAAAGTATTGGAATGCAGACGGTTGTAGCAGCTCATAAAAATAGGTCATCTTTTAAATTTCTTACCACTTAGTAATTTTTTGTAAAATGTTTGTAAACACTTAATAGAGCATTCTAATTACTAATGAAAGTTTAAGACACAATGTATTTGTTATATATATATTTTTAATAATAAGTTTTAATGTACCCCTCGCCCTGTTATTGCAGCGATTACAATTTTAACATTAAGGATGGATTGATTGAAATCGGTAATATACATCTAATGTTAACAACATATCAATAGGCATTAAGTTTGTTTTTTTGAGACTAGACGGTAAAAAGAAAATTTTAAAACATAAAAATATAAAGATAGAATGGTTAAAAATATATCCGATATGATAATATCTTAAATCTGGTTCTTATTGTAGCGAACGTAACATGAACGTAAAGTTGTAGAATAACCAAGTGCCGCGGGAAAATCATGGCAAGGGAATGCATCCAAAATGATTATAAAATGTGCTCGAACGAGACGGGGATATTG